CATATCAGTAATAGTATCGCTTGTATCCAAACGCTCTATGATTGAATTTGTTACCAACTCGATATGAATAGATTTAGACTTTTTTACTAAATGTTTAGCATTTACAAAGTCGTTAAGTGCAACACCCTGGAAATAAAACTTTCCTTCTTTTTCAGTCACTTTGGCGAGAAAACGTTTTACTGTTGGCAAATTAATAAACTTTGTTTTTTGAATACGATTTAAATGGCTTTTAGCTTGTTGAACAAACCCTGATGAAGCCAACACATCTATCTCATCACTTTGAAAACATTTTGACAACATCTTTGCTGGTGCTAAAATCTCAATAAACAACGCGATATAAAGGGGCATTCTAGCATGAATCCACTTTTTGTGGTATCCTTTAAACTTAGCTCTTTCAGCATTGGTAAATGTTATATCTTCAGTCATATTTTCCAGATGTGTTAAATAAACACCGTATTTATCTAAAATCATTTCTAAAGCCTGAACTTTATGTGAAATCCATCGTGTACCTAAAAATGAAACAAGATTATACAATTTATAATTTACTTTATACTTGCAAAAACTAAAAATATAGGCGTCACGCATAACTGTAATGGTAATAAATATAAGATAAATAAATCAAGCAAAAAAAAGAAAACACCGGAGACTTTCTTAGGTCGGTAACCACCAATGTTATATTCATCATCTTCTAAAATAGAAACGAGTTCACCCAACTGTCTTAACTTTTTAGGGGATTTTTTGTAAATGTAATGCATTTTTAAAATCATGTAATCAACGTCATTGAATGAGGCTGTTTTTCCTAATTTTTCTTTTAATGATACCTCGAGACGATGTGCTACACACCAGCCAAACGTGATCCAGGGGACTTCAGCCTTGAGCAACATTTTAACGCCCGACTTGCTCTCTCTGTTAACGGATGCGCCATCCGCACCAAATCCAACTAGTTTTTTATTGCAATTTACGACTTCTATATTCTCGAGTGACTTTTTTATGGTGTTGAAAACTCCGTGCGAAGTTCCATACTCAACATCCAAAAGTGAAAGAAAATCACATTCAACGTTTACTTCAGATTTTCCAGTTGGAGCCGGATTAAAAGTAACGGCAAATATAGCTTCTTTTTCAAATCAACGCTATGTTTATTCCATCAATCAAAAGCATTATTAAGTTATTTACAATAAACTTCGCGGTTCTTTTTAATTACCATTTTTAATGTGAACTAAAAGATTATTATTGGTCTAAAAACTTGTTTAATTCAGCAATAATGAACATATTTTTTTTAATGCTAATTTAATAAATTTAAGATTCTTTTTTAAATGTTAAAAAATTTTTTATTCTAATGTGTGACATGCAATGTAGACGATCAAATTTGATCGGCCATAATTAATTTTGGGAGTTCAAAATTTCATTTTTTCCAAAAGTCGACGATCATTGATCGCTGATCGGCCGTTATTTCAAGCGCTGTATATATATATATATATATATATATATATATATATATATATATATATATATATATATATATATAT